CTGCCTGCGGGCCAACGCAGGGGAAATGACACCAGCCGGGAGCTGCAGGTCTTTGGCCTGAAGGCCAGGTTTGTTGTTGCCCCGAGGTCACCCCTGAGCAGGATCAGGATCCCATTGAATCAGAGAAATCTAGTGAAATTGCACAGGAACTTCTGAAAACTTTTGACTCCGACAAAGTGTGCTTACTGTCTCCAGATTCATAAGAGACATTTTGTTTATGGGACAGACTTTTTTACCCTGAAACTTGGCTTCTGTACTGCAAACTGCGTGACCCACAAAAAATACTCATCTCTGGCAACAGCAATTGCAGACAAGCATAACAATCTTAACAACCATGACACCTTTCAGTACTCACAATAGCTCCTTGTTTCTCTATGTAGGCTTGACATATTCCTGATTTGTAAAATGATATCTGAAAATAAAAAAAAAATCAAGTGTCTGAAATTAAGGGGTGTTTTAGGAAATCATAAATTAAATTCTGGTCCATTGGCGACTTTGCCTAGGAAAAACCTGCTAAGGAATAGTTACAGCAAACACCATATCCTACATTTTAAGGGAGAATGATAACTGAAATTAGTTCAGGCACTTGTCATAGTGTAATCTCATTTCCAGCTAAAGACACATTAACAAGCAAGCAAAAGACTACCCAAAACAATACCACAGAACTCTGCCCCTGCTGCTCTCATTGTGAATTGGGTGGTATCTTACCAACTGAATCCATTCTGTTCCACAAAAGCCTCACCATCTGAAAAGGCCATTTCATTAGAAGAGTAGAAGGCATAAGCTGTCACCTATATTACTAATGCACAAAAATAAAAATTTGCTTTAAATGTCATAATTTCACTTATCCTTGATCCTCAAACAAAACACTTCGTAGGGAAACATGCATGTATGTTTGACGGATACATCTGACTCCTAGCTGTACTTTGGTTCAGGCTGACCAAGAAGCAGCAGACCTCATGTCCTTGGAGTGAACTTGTGAGCTGGAAAGTCCCTGGCTCATGTACTCATGTACATGGGGCGTGAAGGTGTCTTGAAAAATATTTTGAAAGGTGGTTTTGAAACCCAAAAATACAAGATAACCAAAGTACAGAACAAGATATCAGAGCTAAACTGAAGACATCTGTCTTGTCTATACTATTGACTAGCAGCCAGCTACTTAACCCCTTAAATGTTAAAATCAGGACGGGCCAAGTTTGAGCTCCCCCTGAAAGGCAGCTGGCCTGCATGCCAGGTGACTCTCTCCTTGAGCAGGGACGCCTCTAAAGGCTAGAGATTCCTTACCTGTGTCTAAGAGATCCTTTCTTGCCCAAGACGGAGAGATCCCTTACTAGTGACAGACCCTTGGTAAGTGACTGACAGCATGCTGAATTAATACTACAACCATTATTAATCCATGTAGCTACTCTGATATTATAAACCTTCTATGTCGAGATGAACCGTTGACCAAATCTGAGACAGAGATTGGATCCAGCCGCACCTAGGCTCCATAATGGAGTTTAGAAAGCAAGAGGGTCCACTCTGAACCTTGTGACTCAACGGGAGGGTTCCTTTTACTCTTCACACCTCCTTTGTATGTTTCTTCCATGCAGTAATTAATAAGTCGACCTTTGCCATCAAACTTCTTGAACTTTGTCAAACCACTGTTAAAATGTCATTAAATTCCATCAAATTTATTGGACTCCATCAAATTATTTTACCTCAGTAAAACATAGTGCTGCTTCACTCTTTTGAGCAAGGTACATTGTACTCATCTGCAACAGTATGGAACTACATAGACATTAACACAGTGATACTGACCGCCATTACAACTGAAATTTGATTTAGTGTTCCAATAACAGGTGCAGAAAGGATGTCTTGATACAGGAATAATAACTGTCTGTAAAAAAAATTTAAAAAAAATTTTCAGTACTTGATTTTCTCAGCTTAAATTTATCTTCCTCACCTTCTGCAAACATAATAAATTCCACTTTTAATCAATTTCCAGTGGTTCAGTATAATATATGAGACTAGTCCAAGTTACTTGCTCTCAACCCACCCACAGTGGTCTAAGACAAAGACTATGGGCCTTTGGCACATGAACAGAACTCTCCAAAAGTGTTCCTTTTGGCAGAATTTCTCATTTCTTCCTTTTCCTAATAAAGGGAATGACATAATTCTTGGGGAACACTACGGAGTGTACATATATGTTCCGAGTATTCTTTTCACTCAGTCTCAACCTACATAAAGCAACACAATAATTAAAAAGGTGTATCTAATGCATTCCAATTTTGTATGTGAATATAGATTAATTTTAACTACTTATTAATTTATAGAAGGTGGCCTTGTTAGTTTTAGCTGATGACATTTAAAACATGATAATACAAAATACATAGTAATGTTTTTTTCCCCAATAGCCGGAAGTCCCCTACCACAAAAATTTATACTGTTTGCTGCTGACAAGAATTTTGCTGATTTTATTAGAGGTAATTCTGGTACTGCTAATAAAATCCTTGAATAACAGCCACCAGCAGCTTCTGAAAATAGTAGCCCTCACAATTCTTTACCTGCAAATCTTTATCTGTGTACTCCTTGTCTCCGTTTCTGGTAGGTGAGAACTCAGTGTTATAGTACCGGCACAGAGTTTTTGTAGCTCTGGCAGACTGACAAAGAACAGAGACTGGTGCCTGCTGTCATTCATGTTGTATTGTTGACCCAAACCAGCAACTGGATCTTAAAATAAAAATATTAATTCATTTTTATAAGGCAGATAGTTGTTTACAGAACTTACAGTAGGTTTATATTTGTTTACAGTAAGTATATGGTATCAGGTAAATGAATCAACAATTATCTTCTGATTAGGATTAGGTAGGCAATATAACATAATTTGTCAACTAAAACAGAGAGCTCAATATACTTTTCCTATAAATAATGCATTATACTTGAAAAAATAATTATTTAAACCAGTCATAATATTCAGAGTAAAGACAATGACAAAAGCAACCTTTCTACCTTATTCTCAGTCTGCCTTGGGGCTGGAATCTCTCTGGGATCCAAGAACCGAGGAATCCCTCTGCAGGGCTGGTTCCCTTCTCTCTGGCAGGAAAGTTTAATTCCCAGGAGCTCGACAGAGATCTCCTCATTAAGTCATACAAGGGCTTTGGACAGCCTGTCAAAGAGAATATAAACCACAGAAACATGGAGGCACACTGGAATCCTTTCCTTTTTCCCAACACCAGGCTCCCTTCCTAGTGGTAAAGGGAACCCTGCATCTGTGCTCCCTGCTTAAATCCATCTCTTTTCTCAAGTGGCAGGTGAACAGCATATTCTAACCTATGCAGAACTGAGTACAGTCTTACACTGGACCAAAAGCTGTACTAATCCAGAATTGCATTCAGCTATACGATTAATAATAAACATAGACAATTTGTTCTTCCATTCTTAGCCAGCCAAGACTACAAGTTCATCAGAGAATTCCAAAAGCTACAGCTTAAGGAAAATGACATTTTAAACAAACAAGAAAAAAACCTTGTCCATTTGCAAACACAGAAAAGAAAGGCTGGGTCCTCAGTTTTCATAATGTTTAAAAGAATCCTAAATGGCCAGCTGGGGATTTTTGTGGCAAAGATGTTGCAAAACCCATGCCGCAATGTTCCAGTGATCCGCTTTCTCTTTGAGGCCAAGTCCCCTGTGGGAACGACTTGCTGTATTCAATGTAAGTTAAATCTTCCCAGTCATCTTAAAAGCTAATGGGACAGAGTGCTTGCAAATGACTTCTCCCTTCAGGGGAGATGCTAAAGAGAGAAATAGCAGTTAAGATAGAACTACCTATTATAAATCATAGGAAATAAACCCAACTCCTTTCTGTACAAGTAGGAGAACTTAATGCATGTGGGAGAAATCGCATCTTTAGATGATGATAATCACAACACATGAACTTGAAAACACCACAGAGCTCCTGTAAGCTGAACAGGATGCCAGTTGGAAAATGGCTATCAAAGGTTTTCTGTCAGAACAGACAGGTGAATCACAGAGCTTGGTGTTGTTATTTGCTACTTTCAGTAGCAGCCTGGAAGATGGAATGAAAAGACTCCATATTAAAGCTGAGAACTACACCAAGCTGTGAGGAACAATAGCTACTCTTCCTGTTAGGCTGACTGTAAGGAACTAGGGATCTGAAGATTGTGGTGGCATTCAGTGAGGAAGCACAAAGCTGTCCTGCACACAGATAACCAGCTGCATGTGTACAGGGTACAAACACCTACCTAAGCGCCAGCTTGCAGGAAAGGTGCCTTGATAGGTCACACTGGGTAACTTTTGTGTCACTGAAGTTATTCTGTGAACAAAAAAACACAAGCCTGGCCTGTAATCATGATGGAGATGTACCTGGGGCAGTTGCAGCACTCAAGCAGCATACAGGTGTGACCCGGCACAGGGTGCTGCCCTGACAGGAGCCGGTGGGGGACCCATTCTGGCCCCACAGGCAAACAACCCATTCAAACACATCAGAGGCCAGAGAAGGAACCGGGTTTTATCTTAAACAAAACTGAAGGAAAACTAGGTGGCAGGTGAGCGAAAGGGCGTCACTGAGAGAAGGGGCAGGCGCTGCTCCCCGTGCCCTCAGCCCACCTGGCAGCACGTTGCGGGGGTGTCGCAGGGCTCCCCAAAGGCAGGGCGAGGGGCTCCTGCGGCGAAGCACCTCTGCTGGGCGCGCTCCTCAGGCCGCCTCCGCGGGGCTCCCTCACGGGCCGCGCGCGCACCCCGCCCAGCCCTGCCGCGCGCCTCCCGCCTTCGCCGCGAGCGACCGGCGCGTGCACGAGGCGGGAGGGGGAGAGAGGAGGTGGGGCGGGAGGCACGTGACTGGTGAGGGGGGAAAGGCGGGGCACGAGGCCGCCCACCCAAGCCCCTCCCCAGCGGCCGCCTCGGTGGCCAGCCTGACGCCTTCTCTTGAAAGGCATTTGGCTCCACCAATGAGAAGCTGGCTGGGAGGGAGCAGCGGGCGCTGATAGGCTGGCGGCTGGGCCCCGGTCGGCATGCGTGCGGGGGAGCGGAGCTATAGCCGGTGTCGGCGGCGGCGGGGCGGTGATTGTCAGCGGCGCTGTGGGGGAGATGGTGGGCTCCAGCGAGGCCGGTACTGAGTCGTGGCGGGGCCGGTACTACCGGCTGGAGGAGGTGCAGAAGCACAACAACAGCCAGAGCACCTGGATCATCCTGCACAACCGTATCTACGATGTTACCAAGTTCCTGGACGAGGTGGGCGCCCTGGGGGAGGGCGACTGGAAGGCCGGGGTTCGGGGAACCGGGCTCTCCTCGGGCTCCCCCGGAGCGGGGACGGGAGGCGGCCACGGCGCAGCGCGGTGCCGCCCTTGGCCTGCCCCCATAGAGCTGTGGGGAAACCGCCGTGTGGCGGCCCTGGGGCCCTTGGGGTGGGGGCGCGCGAGGGCGGCTCTAACGGCAGAAGGTTGGGGGGGGGTGTCGGTGGGAGCGGCCGCCCCTCAGGCTGGGAAGGGCACGGCTGTACCGAGCCCGGCGGGCCCCGCTGGCCTGTGATCTGGTGCTAGGGAGCTGCTTCCCCTCCTCTTCCCCCTTCTGCCGCCTCTAAACTCTCCCAGCCTTTGCAGGAGCGCCGGTTCCCCACAGGCTTTGTGCTCTTTGCCGCCGTCCCGCTGCGCTCGGCGGGGGCACGCGGTGAAGCTGCAAGAGTTCAAACTCTGGTGAGAGTCCAGCGGTCAAATTCAACGCCTTTGGTTTGTTTTCTT